AAAAAAATAGCAAAGATAAGTTTGGTGAGTGAAACTGAGTAAAGAAAAACTTTTACTTAAGTTATGCATATACATTTTTAAGTTTGACAAAGGTTCAATTGGTATCACTGCTGACTAACTCAGTAATGAAATTATTTACTAGTATGATTAACATAGGCCTCCTATAGATGTGAACACTTCCTAGTATATAACAAAATCAACAACTAAAAGTACCACTCTCACTGGTTTCAACTAAGGAATCAAGTCAAAGAGCAATGGCACAGGTGGACTGGCTTGTGAAGAAGCTGTGTCAAGAATAGAAAAGTTATTTCCAGGCAAATCAGTAATTTCAAAGAAAGGCAAGACTTCAAGGTTTATGGGCATTGCTAAAACTCCCAGTCCCCAAAAGAAAAGGCTTTAAATAGACAGGGTAAATTTTAATAAACTTTCTTTCCCTCAACACATAGACAATATCAAATATATACATTAACCAGATGCTCAGACTTTCTCTGTAAAAATTCGTTAAAATAGATAATGCTATCCTTTCAGACTATAAAAAATTCTCATTGTGAGGCTCAGAATTCAGACAGCTTTCCCAAAACTTTCTGGAGGCTGTTCCTGGGCTTGAATCCTCAGTTTTAATTCTTTAATAAACTTACCTTTGCTCAATTTAAGCCAACATGAAGAGCTGGGGAGATGTGCCAATTGTGTACAAATATAGAATATCAACATTATCTTCACTTTTCTCAAACTAGATCAATTTACAAAAAAAAAATTACCTTCAAATTGTATATTTTCCTCCAATATTCAACCTCTCTTGTGAACCCAGCTGCACTCCTCACTTTCATTTTTATAAGTTAGAAACAACTTTTATCAATTGCATTGCCCAGTCCAATGTTTATGAAAGGGACATTAGTGATTTAGGGAATGGGGATGGTGCCTGGAGGGGGAATCGGGCTCTCAGGGGAAATTTGTTTGGTCAGTCCAGTGTGCAGAGGAGAAGAAAAAAGAAAAAGTAAGGAAGGAAAGAGGGAGGGAGCAAGAAAGAAACAGCAATGTTTTTACAAAAAGCATAAGCTACCTATATTAACATCATTCCCTAGTGTCATCTACTGACTACATCACACACTTCATCATCTACTGGCAATAATTCCCACACCTAGTCCAAACTTTTCATTTTAAAGATGAGGAAACAAGAATTCAAGTACAGTTAATTAAGGTAGCACAGCAGTTGATCAACAAAGCAACAGTAAGGTTGTTGACCTGACTACTAGTTGCGTATTTTCCGACTCCATCATTTTTTCCCACAAATTCAATCTAGAACACTTCAACCCAAATGTTAAAAGGGTAAGCCAGGATATAAAATGTATATTGAAAATAAATGATATATTCCTGTCACAGTGTAAGAATGTTTTATTTTCTTTATGCCCATCTAAGCAAAGGTGGCTAGGGACAGGTGAATAGAGGAGTCATGTACACAGGTAAGCTATTGTTGGTAAACTATTTCCACAACCAAGATTGCAACAAAAGACACTTGTCTTTTGATGATTCTGTTATTAAGGTCCGGACAATGTATTTCTAGCAAGTTCTCTCCTGTCTAATCATATATTCACATTTAAGTGCCCAAAACATACAACAGCCTGAATTACTTGTTAGTCTTGTTTTTCTGACCCTCTCTTAAACTAGTTTCTTTTGTAACACATGATTTTGTATAATGATTTGTCTAATTTGAATTAAAGGAGGGTCATTTGCTGTTTTTCCCAGTTACCAACATAGCTTATCAGCCATTTTGAGTTCTGAGTTATAGTCACTTACAGAGTAAAATAAACAACTAACCATACTGCTATACCTACCAAGTCATTTCCAGTTCTACATTAAACTCTGTGATTCCCGGGGTATCTAATTGTGATATGCCCAGTGGAAAATTTCAGATCATTTGCTATGTAAGAACTTTAGAAAACTCTGACAATGAAGTTTAGTTTTTCTGCCAGAATTCCTACTTTGAAGGAGAGTCATTAAATCTCTCCAATTTCTTGTAGTGGAGGCATAGATAAAGCAGGAGGTATACTTGGAGGAGACAAAGAGTGAATATATGTAAAAAATGTAAAAAAAAGAAAGTAAAGGGTGGCATCCTATTACCATGGCTGCTCTAGGCTCATCAGTTAAGGAGAGGAAAAAAATTCACTCAAATATTAAAAGCAAGAAAATGAGTACTTACTCTGCTTTAGACACCAGAACTTCAAATTCTTAATATACCATAATTACAAAATTATATTTAAAGAAAAATGAGGGATTATCAAGAAAGTTTATTAAAGTATTTGTATTTTCATATGTTTACTTCCTCACTAAATATAAATGAAGCTATATACAGTTTTTTAAAACCAGAGAAATAATTGTGGGGAAAGATCAAGAATGTTTTGTAACCTTTTTTTTTTTTTTAAAAAGTATATATATATATATATATATTTTTTTTTTTTTAAGATTTATTTATTTATTAATACAAGCACTGGGTATAGTCAGAAGTGGGGGAGGGTGACAGAACTCACCAGAGCCAGAGTGGGGAACAGAACAGGCAGAAGGACTGAAGTACACTGCTGAGGGGAGCAGCGGGCGGCAGGAAAGGTCTGTGCGCCATGTGGGACCCTCGCCCAGTGGCTGGGGATCCTGAGCTGGGGATCAAGCGGGCACTGTAGAGGCTGCGGGCAGCTTTGCAACCCAGTGCTCAACGGCTGCGCCACGGGGAAGGCCCTGGAACCTTTCTTTAAGCATGTACTAGGGAAGACATTTTTGGGAAGCAATGGTGAATAGACAAAACCAAACCAAACCAAGATAAAAGAACTTTAAATTGTATTTTATATGATTACATATTATAGAATTCTCAAGTTGTTAGGGTCTCAGGAACAAGCACTTAATAAAGTTTCACTTATAAAATAATGCTAACATACTTTGTTTATTCAAAAACACAATCTGACTTTAAGGGAATTATCTTTTTTAAAAGTGGTAATTTAGATGTATGAAGCAAAGAAATTCTGATTGTACTTCATTTCAGGGTTAGTTTTGTTTCCTTATACAAGCTATTTAATAAATTAACACATAAAAAATGAAAATGGTACTAAATAAATAAGTCTGAAAAAACCCATGAAAAATTTTAGTTTCTAATCTCTATTCACTTTTAAAAAACTATTGCTAAGATTTTTTTAAATTTAAAATCTATCTAAAAATGTATTATCTTTAAGTGAAAGCTCTTCACTCCATAATTACTGAAAGTATTATCACTGGCATTAAAATTACTACCATTGAGTTTAATATGAACCATTTTATTGCATCAAAATGCCTAGTATTAAATAGGCTCTAATGCTTACATGAAAGTTCAAAATAAGGTCAGAAGAGGGAAAACATTAGAAGAAATTGATAATGAAAAAAATTTTCACCATGCTCAAAAATAAAAATCACTCATATTATCATGTGCATGTAGTTGTCTTGCTTTCAAATGAAAAGTTAGCAGCAGTTATGTCTATATCTGATAGATCTGAAACATCAGTAGGCTGAAGGTTTTCAAGATCAATTATTTTACTCTTGCAGTTTGAATACTGAGGATGTTGACAGTTTAACACTGTTGACATGTGAAAAGAAATAATAGCCCCTACAAAATGTAGTGACTAAGCACTTGAGTGCTTCTTTACCCTTATTTTCTATTATATAAAGTAATGGCTAGTTGTTTACTGTCTTTCTCTTTCCAGAAGTTCCATGGGGACATGAACTTTGTATCGTTTCTGATTTTATCCCCAGTACCAAGTATGTCTAACACATAGTAGGCATTGGATGAATAAATGAGCCACAATTGTAAATGTTTCAAATAATTCTTAAAACTGTTGGTCATGATCTACAGGGTTAAGAAAATGCAACAGAACGAAAAGTTTATTGCATCTAATAGAATAAAAATTCTTTAATGAAACATTTCTTTTAGTTTGTATACATATACCCCTATAAAACGTATTTCTTATGTCTAATGGTAAAAAAAAAAAAGTATGAATCACTGCTGTTAAGTGGATTATTTCATTTTTTCCCCTCACAATAACCTTGTCGACAATACCCCTTAAAATAGCACAACTCAAGTTCTGGATGTTACCTATGATGTTCGAAATGACACAGCTATTTACAAATACCAACATCACTGCTACAGATATTCACATAATCACTGCTACAGATATTCACATAATTTGAATTGACTAAATAAGGTTTCAGTAATAGTAATGGGACATGATTAATAAAAATAAGCTTGTACATTTAATTAAACCAAATTACTCTTATTATCATTATGCATTGTAGTTTTTTTTTTTTTTTGCTTTCAAATGAAAAGTTAGAAATGCTTATTTCTATATCTATAGCTCTGAAACATCAGTAGGCTTAATCTGAAGGAGATAGGCCTGACTAAATGTAATGGTTGGCTCTATTACTGACAGTTTGTATGGGCTTTGTCCTGTAACTTAAAATCTGTGCGCCTCGATTTCCCCCAGAAAAGAGGAATATTCATATGCTTAAGTTTTAAATGATTTAATGTCCCTAAAGAGCCTAGATCACTAAATAGAAACTGCTGTGTTTAAAATAATTATTAGTGTGCTTTTTTCCCTTGGTCTAGCAAATCACATTCAATCCATTACATAAAATGAATGTGTAACAAGTGTGAATTAGGAACTTCTTGGAGTAACGAACAAAGTGTGGTAAATGGGCAGAAGTGGCAAAGGGCCGTCCAAAAGTTTCTGCTGGCTTGGGGTGAGAACGCTGCCCAAGTCAAAACCAACGAGTTACTTCAAGTAACTACGGAGTCAAGGAAAACAACGCCGAAAAGCAGTAAAAACAAACACAAACTATTTCATCTCTCCTCAAAGAACATAGCAACATCCATCTTCTCCCTCATCCTGGCTGGGACCAAAACCAGGCGTTAGGGGAAGAGCTGGGTGAGCTGCTGCCCACTGGGCCCTGGTAGTAGGGGCGAGCACAAGAGGTTCGGGGGAACTCACCCCGGGGACGCCCTTGATCTTGCCCCAGAATCTCCTCCCGGGTAGAGTTCTCCGGGCACTTCGCCATGCACGGACTCGGGACCTAGAGATGGGAGTTACATGGGGAAACGTCCAGTGTTCCCCCCTCAGAGACCCAAACAACTCAGAGTCAGCGAAACACCCGCCAGCCGTTGCTGTCGTTAGCGAGCGTTGAACCCAGGCGCGAGCTCGCGAAGGCTCTTCCCACCCAACGGCCCTCAGGGAGGACGCTGGGAGTTGTAGTCCGCAGGCCCAGGGCCTGCCGTGTGGAGCTTCTTAAGATCATTTCCAACAACACTACAATTCCCAGAAGGGACCGCGCTCCAGACGCAGTCTTAGGCGGTTTGGTTGCCAGATTGGTTGCCAGTAGACTGCTTGGAGGCCCCGCCCTTTTTCTGTACCCCCCCCCCACCCTTCACCCCAACCTTCTGTTGGGATCACCTAACAGAAAGAAAAGGCTCACTACAGGCCTTCCTCTTTTAAATTTGCTAATATGCAGTTGAACGTTAAGTTTCTCAAGGACGCAAATAACAAGCACCGAGCCCGTCAGCCACGGTATTTGTCAAATTGCCCCAATAAAATATGAAGAAAAAGCTCTAAATCTTTTGAGCAGCCTAGATTACGAAGGCGACTGACACTACAACTCCTAGCATGCCCAGCAACCCGACTGCCCCTTGGAGTTGGCGTGATGCCCGCTGGGAACTGTAGTCCTGGTTGGCTGCGGTCCCCCACCCTAATGGCGGGGTCCTCTTCATTGTTCAAGCCAGTCTTTGGGGCACGCCTGCGCAGTGGGCAACTGGAAAAGCCTCAGGGTTGAGACCCCTCGTACAACCCATTTTCATTGTCTCTATTTAGCGCCTGCGCAGTACGAGATCGTTGGGACTGGGACGGAGGAGGGGGATAAGGCCCGGCTCCTCGCCCTTTTCCCAGGCGCCTGCGCACTGGGCGGCCGCTCTTTGCCGTTACCGCTATGTGTAGGGCGTGTGTGGAATAACGTTATTGCCCAGCGGAGCTGAGGGTTCCGGGAGCGCGGCCGCGTCGGCGGCGACGACGATCCCAGCGGCGACTACGACAGCGGGGTGGCGGTGGGGGATGACGGCGTGCTAGGGACTCGCGGGACGTGACGCGCCCCGCCCCCCCCGTCCTGCTCCCTCTCAGCCGTGAGGGGTAAGTGATGCGCTGGGCTGCCCGGGTTAGGCGCTGCCGATACCGCCGCCGCCGCGGCTTTTCCACATCCTGGTTCGCGGCCGGGACGCGGGCGCGGCCTGCGGCGGGGCGGGGGTGCGCGGCCGGGCCGCGAAGGGGCGCTTTCTGGGCGCTCCGCGCGGCAGTGCCGCCCCCACCGCACCCGACCAGGGTTCGGCTGGGTCGCCCTTCCCCTCCCCCACCCAGCCCCCGCCCCAGCCCCAGCCCTCCGAGCCTGTGGCCTGCTGCTCGCCCAGGCCCGCCGCGGCTGCCTTCTCGCCCCCTCCATGTCTTGAACCGTGTTCAGCTCTCCCTGCTTTGTGAGGCGTCCTCCTCCGCCATGGCAGTTTTCGAGGGGTAAGGGCAGCTCATTGGAATGGCTGCGCTTCCGCTGGAGAAGGGATTTTTCCCCCATCGGAGCAGCTAACTGTGCCTGTCCTTTTTGTGTGGTTGGTTCGGGGATGTGCAGCGGTTTGTGGGAGATCGGATGAGGGGCCTTTTGGACCTGGTTGGAGGGCGTGGAAGCCGGTGTCACGCACCCTGCCTGGCGACTGCACCCGGCGTTGGCTCTGGCCCCTTAGGAAACCCGGGGAGGAAAGTGCCTTCCTGTCGACTTCATTGTCCTAAGGTTCAGTTGTAGGATTTTGGTTATTCCCTTCATGTATGCAAGGAAAGAAAAATATTAGCAGCTGCCTACCCCAGGGCGGGAAGACTTGGGATTTGTATCCTAATGCAGAATCGCTGAGTTTCTGGTAATTGGTTGAGTTTTATTTATTTGAAGAACGTAAGCTCCTGGAAGACAGGGGCAGTGCTGGCTCAACCAAGGGGATCAATATTGAATTACTACGTGACGATGAAGAATGAATCGGGACGGCCCTGACAACGAAGCTGTTGTGTAGCAGGGAAGTGAGCCAGCAGATTTGTTTTTTTTTATTGGGTGGGCAATACATTCTTGTTCCTAAGTGAAGAGATGAAGATACCTCTTTCCGTTTTGTGTTTTAAAGCAATCAGAATAAAAAATAGGCCTAGTACACATCTGCTGGTGAATTTGTTTATTCATAGTGGTATTCTCTTCGTGAAAATTCCCCTTTTTGGGAGAAATGTGATGAAGCAGATGACCCACTTGATGGAAAATACATCTTTTAAACTGAAAGGATTCTTAAGCTTACAATGCTTACTACTGTTTGCTGGCATTAAAATGAGGAGGGTGGGGATAATGAAAAGGGGTGGGGAGGAGCTGGTGAAGGAATAGTGTGAGGGGAGTCACATTGTGAAGACAGTATTTAGATCTTCCTCATTTAACTCTAGCGGGGTATGCTTCAGAGATTTAGGAATTCATCTTTTGAAATATTACAAATTACAAACCATTTTATCTTTTTCTGCCATTATTTTTAGAAATTTTTTAGAAAGTAAAACTCAGGGCTACTACACAACTTTGTTGATATTGTAGAATGTTGGAGTTTTAAAACTGAAGAATCCTGCACTTGGAAAGTTAACTGATTTGTCTGCCCAAGCCAAACTACTGATGAAAGACCGAAACAAGTAAAAGCAAGGATTGTTTAGCAGTGTTTGTTGTATCTTAGTAGACTTTTTATATATACATATATATAGTTAGTAGACGTTTTATAGATACATATATACACACATATATGTATTTATAAATATCTCTTAAATTCCAACTTACACATAATTTTTAATTGAATTCAGCACGTGGAATTCTATTAAATCAAATGTCAAATGTATTTTACTGGTAAATTTCATGGTGTTCTAAAATTACTTTGTATGGAAATAACCTTCTGTTTTCTGTCTTAGCACTAGAGTAGTGAAATTTACGCTATAAAGTTCTCATTCATTCTGAAAGTTAATGCAGATATCAAGGTACTTTTAAAAATTATGTGCTAAGTGATTTGTTTCAAGTATCAGTTTATCACTGAAAAAAGTAATTGTTGTTTCTGATAGTAATCAGATACTGTTTCACCTAGCACTGAATACTGTAAATGTTTAAACTTATCAATGTTTTCTATTCAACAAAATTCTGTTTCTGAAAAATAATTTTTCTACTTAAATGATTTTTCCCCTTTTCTTGAACATTGGGCTGTTAAGCAGTGTGCTATTCTAATACTATGTAACTGCTTGATACTGAATTGCCAACTGAAATACAGTTGCAAATTATTCTGGATTTCTAACAAAAGAACAGTTACATACCATCTGAAAAACGCTTAGTGGATCGATAATATTGGCCAGACCATTAACTATTGATTTGTTTCAGTAAGAAATGAATTTCTCTTTAAAGGAACAAATCTCAAACCACTTTTATTTCATAAACTTTTGTTAATAGCTAAGATTTCAAATCAACTACTCTGGTGAAATGGATTTTATTTATTCAAATATTTCTTGAATGTGCTCAGCAATGAGCTAGCCAGTGAGGTCAATAAAACAGAATAACAAAACATCTGTCTGGCAATAGTTGATTGAACTAGATTTTAAAAAGTTCAGTTTAGTTGAAATGACGTTTGAAAACATTTTAATTTTTTGGGTCAAATTAAATGTCATAGCCAGTATGTACTAAAGGTTAATCCCACTTCTACATAAAACTAAGGTAGAAGGAAACCAGCAAAAGCAATGTTAAAGTAAACGTTGCAGTATGTAAACCAGTGGTGTATCAATAAAAAAAAAAAAAAAGAAAAGAAAACCGTGCAAAAATCGTATATAATTGGGATTGGGGCCTTCCTGGTAGCGCAGTGGGTTGAGCGCTGTGCTGTGAAGCTGTCTGCAGCCTCTGCAATGCCGGTTCAATCCCCGCTGGCCTTGGAGCAACCCACATGGCAAGCAGACCTCTCCTGTCTCGCCCGCTGCTCCCCTTAGCAGTGTATTTCATCAGTCTGCCAGTTCTGTTCCCCGCTCTGTCTCTGGTGAATCCTCTCACCTTCCCGCGCATCTGCCCTGTACCCCAGTTCTTGTATAAATAAAATAAATCTTAAAAAAAAAAAAAAAGAAACAGAGAGGGGGAAAAAAAAAATATATAATTGGGATTGTGCAAAGCATGGAAGTGGAAAAGAATCCCAAGCATTCATTACTTAATTTGGAGGGAAAAAAAATGAGGTGTAGCGGGGAACAACTCATTCTTTTTAAGTGTATTATTAATGAATACTATAGAAAAGATTATTTAGGTTTTCTAAATTCCTGCTATAAGTGAGACCATCCGGTATTTTTCTTTTTCTTTCTGGCTTATTTCGCTGAGCATGATCCCTCCAGCTCCATCCATGTTGCTGCAAATTGCATGTGTTTATCTTTTTTGATTGCTGAGTAATATTCCATGGTGTATATGTACCATATCTTCTTGATCCAGTCATCTGTTTTTGGGCATTTGGGTTGTTTCCAAAGCTTAGCTATTGTAAAGAGTGCTGCTATAAACATAGGGGTGCAGGTGCTCTTTGGAATTAATGTTTCTGTGTCCTTTGGATAAATACCTAGGAGTGGAATTGCTGGATCATATGGAAGCTCTATTTTTAGTAGGTTGAGGAATCTCCACACAGCTTTCCATAGTGGTTGGACCAGTTTGCACTCCCACCAACAGTGCAGGAGAGTTCCTTTTTCTCCACAACCTCACCAACATTTGTTGTTGCTAGTTTTTTTTAATATGTGCCATGCTCACTGGTGTGAGATGGTATCTCATTGTAGTTTTGCTTTGCATTTCCCTGATTGCAAGTGATATTGAACATTTTTTCATATGCCTGTTGGCCATTTGTATTTCCTCTTTGGAGTAGTTTCTTTTTAGGTCTTCTGCCCATTTTTTGACTGGATTATTTTCTTTGTTTTTGTTGAGTCTCATCAGCTCTTTGTAGATTTTTGTGTTCAGTCCTTTATCATTAGTGTTGTGTGCAAAAATTTTCTCCCAGTCAGTGGGTGAACCATTGTTTTTTGACTCTAGTTGAAATCTCTCTACTCATTTTTCAGTATGTTGAAAAGACTACATTTATTCCTTTCTGATTCACAAAATTTTAAAATTAGTGGAGGAGACTTTAGAAGTCATCTTTTACAATGTGCCACTTAGTATTAATGTCACTGATATCTTATTGGATCCTCCTTCTCTGTGAACATCACTTCTATGAGCAAATGGCAAAAGATTGTTCATATAACTTATGAAAAGTATTGATAGAACTGAAATTAGTATCTCCATTACTATATAACTTCTTCCCATTGGTTGCACTTCTGTCTTCCGAAGTAATAGGTTTCACTTAATATATTCCATGATAGTTTTTCTCTTTCCTAAATTAAATATTACAACCCTTACAATTACATATGATGACATTCCCTTTAGGTTTCTTATCTTTGTCAGCTAGATTCAGTAAGTATTTTTAGTGTGTTTATTGTTCTTCTGATCTGGTTTCTATTATTAATTCTGTAGTTATATCTGAATATAGTGTAGTGAAATTATCCATTTCCTTAATTTGAGTCGTTCACTTCTTTTTATGATATGAAAGTGTGTTAACTCTTTTATAGCAATAATATCCTTGCTATTTACAAGGAAATGAGGGGGAAATATGTGACTTTTCATTTTATATTTATGTAATTCAAGGGTTTTTTTTTTTGAGCTTCTGTATTTGTACTTTTCTAATGTTAAAGTGACCTTTCTTTATGAAATGATAGTATAATGGTAGGTGCTATTTTTGTCTTGCATTTGTTTTTAGTGTTTTAAAATAACAATAAAAAATTGTCAGCCTTAATGTTGTTTCTCATTTTGTTTTTTGAAAAAAATTTCTGGAAACCATTGACAGTAGTCTACATAAATGCATATCTTTCTTAGGTTAAGATCTGTCCCATTCTCCATATACACAAAAATGATGTTTTTGAAATAAAATTTATCTTTAACTCTTAAATATTGTTTCCATGAATGTAGCTTTAGATAACTTGTTGATAACTTTTTGAATCATGATTCTGTCATTCAAGGGGATTAGCTTCCCTTCTTGACTTTTTGAACA